CGAACCCTGCCACCAGGGCCTTCGGTGGAGTCCCCCATGGGGCCACGAACTGTGTGAGGGGTGCGCCGAAATGGGGCGGGGCCGCCATGCGAACCCTGCCACTGGGGCCTTCGGTGGAGCTCCCTATGGGGCCGCGAACCGTGTGAGGGGTGCGCCAAATGGGGCGGGGTCGCCATGCGAACCCTGTCACTGGAACCTTCGATGGAGCTCCCTGTGGGGCCATAAACCGTGAAAGAAGGTGCGCCAAAATGGGGAGGGGGCCGCCATGCGAACCCTGCCACTGGGGTCTTCGGTGGAGCCCCCCATGGGGCCACGAACCGTGTGAGAGGGGTGCGCCAAAATGGGGCGGGGCCGCCATGCGAACCCTGCCACCGGAACCTTCGGCGGAACTCCCCATGGGGCCACGAAACGTGTGACGGGTGCGCCAAAATGGGGCGGGGCCGCCATCCGAACCCTGCCACCAGGGCCTTCGGTGGAACTCCCTGTGGGGCCACGAACCGTGTGAGGGGTGCGCCAAAATGTGGCGGGGCCGCCATGCGAACCCCGGTGGAGCTCCCTATGGGGCCACAAACCGTGTGAGGGGTGCGCCAACACGCGGGGCCGCCATGCGAACCCTGCCACTGGGGCCTTCGATGGAGCTCCCTATGCGGCCACAAACCGTGTGAGGGGTGCGCCAAAACGCGGGGCCGCCATGCGAACCCTGCCACTGGGGCCTTCGGTGGAGCTCCCTATGGGACCACGAAACGCTGTACTGGGTGGGTGAAACGCAGGGAGGAGGGAGGAGGAGGAGGAGGAGGAGGAGGAGGAGGAGGAGGAGGAGAAGGAGCAGGCGGGAGGGCGGGAAGGAGGACGAACGCGGGGCGATGTCTCTTCAAAACGAGGACCCAACACCACAGGATGGTTGGGAACTAATCCCTACAAGCTACCAGGAAAAAGACCGATGCCACATGGGCCTGCCATGCTGGCGAGGGCTCTGTGATGTAAAGGGGCAGCCTCGCAACCATCTGATGCAGAATCAGGAATACGGCAAACTGTGACCATACAATCCCACCAGCCCTCTGGGCGCAGGTGGTCTAGGGCGTTTCCCTTTCCAACCTCCTGCCTTTCCCTGCCTTTCCCTGCTCCCTGCGTTTGGACGGGGGGGACCGACCCATAGCAGCGTCCAAGATGGCCCAATATGGCTCCAAGAAGGCCTCCGGGAGCGCAAGATGGCCTCCAAGATGGCCCAAGATAGCGGTAGACGGGTCAAGACCTCCGACACGCGTCCAAGAGGCCTCAAGACGGCCCCAAGACTGTTCCAAGTGCCCTCCGAAGCCTCCAAGGACCCCCCCCAAGAGGCCAAAATCCTTCAAAAACCTAAGGAAAATGACCCTGGCGACGTACCCAACCCCTGCGCAAAAGCGGGGCGCAAATAGTTTAGGATACTTTATAAGGGGGCGATGACGGAGCGAGGGTTACATATGTCTGCAGACGGAATTCGGGAGACTCGCAGGACACTGGCTACAGGAAAAGGGCTTGATAAAGCTGATGATTTACAATTCCTGAGCACTCCTAGCCACTTCGAAAACGGGGATCACAGCAGGCCTCGAAAGTGGCGACAGGTTCACAGATCGCAGCCCCGCAGGGACGGCGAGGTCTCATTTGAATCTGCCCGTGGCCCTCACTGTGCTGGGCCCCCCAGCAGGCCTCGAAAATGGCGGCAGTTTCGCAGATCGCAGCCCCCCAGGGATGGCGAGGTCTAATTTGAATCCGCGCGTGGCCCTCACTGTGCTGGGCCCCCCAGCAGGCCTCGAAAGTGGCGACAGTTTCACAGATCGCAGCCCCCCAGGGAGGGCGAGGTCTAATTTGGATCTGCCGCGATTACCCTCTATGCTGGACCCCCCAGCAGGCCTCGAAAGTGGCGACAGTTTCACAGATCGCAGCCCCCCCCCCAGGGATGGCGAGGTCTAATTTGAATCTGCCGCGATTACCCTCTATGCTGAGCCCCCCAGCAGGCCTCGAAAGTGGCGACAGTTTCACAGATCGCAGCCCCCCAGGAATGGCGAGGTCTAATTTGGATCTGCCGCGATTACCCTCTATGCTGGACCCCCCAGCAGGCCTCGAAACTGGCGACAGTTTCACAGCCCCCCGCAGGCAAGACAGAAAGAGGCAGGAAAGAGGCGGGAGGCGGGAGGAGGAAGGACGCGACCACACTGCACTATTCAAAACGAATACCCAACCAAGGAGGGTTGGGAATAAATGTGTGTTGCCTTGTCGTGTTTTCGCCTCGGAAGGGCTCTTGAGGCCTCAAGATGGCCCCAAGATGGCCCAAGACAGCCCCAACAGGGGCCCAAGAGAGCCCCAAGACGGCCCCAAGAGCGCCCAAGAGCGCTCCAAGAGCGGGCCAAGAGGGTCCCAAGACGGATTTTTTGAGCCTCCGAAGGGGGGGACAAGAATTGAGGCCCCCCCCCTTCTTTAGCCATAAGGACCAAGACGGCCCCGAGAGGCCCCTCAGGCATCCCAAAAGAGCCCCAAGAAGGCTCCCTGACCCCCCCCCCAAAGAGCCCCTTAAGAGGGCCCCAAGACGCCCCAAAAGAGCCCCAAGAAGCCCCAAGAAGGCCCTATGATAACCTCAGGAGAGCCCCAAGGAAGAGCCCCAGGAGGCCCCAAGAGGGGCCCAAGAGAATCCCAAGAGAGCCCCAAGATGCCTCCAAGTTTCGAAACGCACGCGTTAAGACACACATCAGCGCAACAGCCATTACGAGTCATCGAAACACCCCTCATCCCTCATCGAAGCACCATCGCAGCTTGCACCGATTCCCATCTTAAACTTCAATGCGGGAAGCTATTTGTGATCATTGTTTTCTCGAAGACGGCTGCGCGACTGCATGCGTCCTGCCGCCCCTGATTCACCAACTCCCCTGCTGATCGTTTCTGAATGGGGTGGTGAGGATACGTTTTTTGGTCGGCGGCCCCGAGGCGGCGGACAGGGAGCGGAAGGCGTCGTGTGGGCCAGCAGGCGAGGCTAATTAGCTACAACAGGCAACGCACCTGCAGTAATAATTCGCAAAGAATGCGAGGTGCGCACATGCATTGAGCAAAGTGCTCCACATTAGGGCGAACGCACCTAAGCGCCAGCCACACCGAGGTGAAGCAGACCGCAGTGCTATGCAACGGAGAGTCGCCCTGTCGGCGCCAGTCCGCGCAACCAACCTAGCCGATCCTACAGGTAGCACCGAAGCGACACGCTGAAGGCTGAACCACTCAGCGCGAGGTACCACCGTCGTACGCGGGGTCGGCTGAGACAGGGGCAAAGGAAGGGCAGGGACCTACAGAGCTCTCACTCCACGATCCACACCGCTGCCCGTGGTGGGGCCGGTGCGTCAGCCATCGTTTCCGAAACCACTCACATGCCAGAAAGCAACGATGAAAAGACACGCAGGCCCAAGCACCAGTACCGCCGCCAAGCGGGTATCGGCCGAAGGGCGCAGAGGTACGCTGCAGCAGCGGCCAGCTCATAGGCGCTGGGGTGTAGTCAGGGCTGAATCTGACCACAGGGAGAGCCGGTGGACGGCAAGTACCAACAGAGCACTCACTCCGCGGACCGCACCGCTGCCCGAGGGGGGGCCGGTGTATCGTCATCGTATCCGAAACCAGTGACTGGTCGAGGCAGCAACGATGAGAGAGGACACGCTGGCCCGGGGCCGGTATACTGCAACCACGCAGGAACCAGTCACATTAGTCGCCGAGATTCGCAGGGCTGGTGGGGACACGCGAAGCGTGAAGAATTCAACTGGCTGTCCAACGAGACCCTCCTTCCGCAAGAGGCCCGGTCCCCCGCCCCCCACCAACACAACTGCGCTGCACATAATTACACTTCTGCTCATCGAGCGTCGGGGGGAGTCTCAAGCCATACATCATGTTACTGTTGCGGCCTTGTAAAACGAATGTGCGCGGCGTTATGGCGAAACTCACCCTTCGAAAACGACCTGTGCTCACAATGCAAGAGGTCAAAGCAACTGTACACGGCGATACGGTGAGAGCTATACTTTACAAACACAACAGCTTTCCCGTCCACAAAGTGCTTCAAACGTTTACATCAAATCTGCGCGGCGCTGGTGCGAGAACCCCGTATTGAGAAGTGGCCCGCAACCGCTGCAAATGATTAAGACGGATGCGCGCGGCGCCAAGGCGAGAACCCCACTTTGGAAACGCCCGTCCATGCGTGAACCTGTTGTTGTGTCTTAGGACGAATATACGCGTGTCAGAAAAAACTGTCTCTGTCCTTGAACATGCTGGATATATTAAGACGAAGGTGTGCGGCACCGAGGCTAGAGTTGCATGGAGCTGCGGCGAGGACACCGTTTTGAGAAACGACCCGCCTTCCATCTGTGAAGCTGTTGACCACTTTTAATACGAGTGCGCGTGTCGCTAAGGGGCGAAGCCAGCCTCACATTTCTGTTATCACGGAGGCCCATCCCTTCCGGATAGAAATCGAATTGAATACCCTGAAGTTCGACTTGACTGCTCCACATACGTGTCTACGACCGCAAAATTGCAAGCTTCGACGACGTAGTGAATCGATATGCTGACAGTTAGACACATCAACATACAAGGTTGCCCCCTGCATCACATGCGGAAAAAAAACTGATACAGGATGCTGGCAAAACGCATGTGCTTGCACACGCGTGCGCCAAGTCGGGGATTCGATCGCACTGCCTCGGCGGACTATAACCGCTTGGTTGTCCGATGTAGTGTCCAACTGTTGTAAGATAAGTTCTGCAAACTGCCTGCGCTCCCTCCAGGGATCCACTCTACGCTGCCACTGACTTGCGGTGTAGGCTTCGTCATTGCTGAAAATGTCATGTCGTTGTTTCCTTCCTAAGCCATGCCATGCAAAAAAAGCGAATGAACACTGTATATGCTGACTGTTAGGGACCCGCCTTAAGCAACAGCTTTACTTGAGCTGGAACGGAGAAGCAGAAGCGGGAGCGAGGAAGATGACAATGACGATGGCGATGACGATGACGAGCTTAGGCACCAGGTCTGCAGCCCAGCGTCGCCAAAGCACTGGGCGAGCCCGATACCATAGTCACGAATGCACAGTGCGCTCAGCATTCAAGAAGCATCGTCATCGTCACCGTCATCGTCGACGTCAGCGAGGAGGAGGGAGGAGACGCTTCTGGCCCGCAGAGATACGCCGATGACGGCTGGCCGCTCGACGGTGCCACAAGACGTGGGCTGGGCGGGCCCATGCATCAGGGCGTGGACGCGCGGCGCCAAGGCGAGCCGACGCCGCGTCACCGCCGGCTGCGCATAGTCCCCCCGCTGTCCTCATCAGCGGCACCATCGTCGTCCTCATCCTCACTCTCAACCTCAACCTCCTCCTCCTCCTCCTCCTCCTCCTCCTCCTCCTCCTCCTCCCCCCCTCCTCCTCGTCCTCCTCCTCCTCCTTCTCATCATCATCCTCCTCATATTCCTCCTTTTCATCCGCATCCTCATCCTTCTCTTGGTCGCCGCCGCCGCCGACGTCTCAGCGCGGCGCCCGCAGCCCGCGCGCGGCGCAACTGCCTGGCGCTGCTCGCCTGGCCACGGCGCGGCGCGGCGCGGCTCTGTATCGGTCCACCACCATACCTGGCCAGGGCCCGGATGACCCCGGCACGGTGCTCCGATGTTTACGCCCTCCTGGACCAGGCAAGGACGGCCTCGTTGTCCTCATCGGCAGCACCGCGAACAGCACCGAACGCAACAGCCAGGTGCATAAACACAGACCTTCGGAAGTCCGAACGGAGTGCCGAAGTCGGCGCGGGGCCACCAGCGCCGACACTAAAGTCAGCGCGGACCTCGAACAACAGTTATCATGTAGTTGTTGATCATCGGCCATCACGACATCACCATCGTCACAGTATCTTGGCATGATCAGCGGCATCACCACGCGGCCATCACCGCTGTCGCAAAACCAGATCGTAATACCAACAAGTCACAACTATGTGTCCATCATCGAGACCATCATCATCATCATCACCACCTTCATCGTCATCATCAGCTTCATCAGCTACCGTCATCACCGGCATCATCATCGGCATCATCATCGTCACATCGCCATGATCATCATGGCGGTCATTTGTATCCACAAGCGCGCGCCAGAGCGCCGTGTGTGCGCATTGGCGCCGGCCTCACATGCCCCATCCATGCGGCCCGCACCCGCATCGAAGACACTGCTACCACGCACTACTTCGGGCGCCATGTTTACACGCGTCTTCCGGAACGGCAAGGCCCGCCGATCGTCAGACGCCCCGCCGGGCCGCGACCAGAGAGAGCAGGGGCCGACGCTTCCCCCGAAGGGCCGCGATCACCTGCGACGCGGCGGTCATCCGACACCCCGTCGAGCCGCGGCCAGCAGCGGCAGGGGCCAACACTGGCCCGAAGGGCTGCGCGCCATCTGTCAGCTGGAGCCAACACTGCCCCGCAGATACGCGCTCCATCTGCGGCGCAAGGGGCACTGGTGCTACTCGCCCGCGGCGAGGGGCGGGCGGCAGCCGGGACCGCCGAGCCTCGGGGGGCCGCGCGGCGCACCGGGGCCAGCCTTCGGAACTTCGAGGACACACTCTCCGCGAGAGAGGGGGCGCGGAGCTCCCTTGCACCCGGCAACGAGACGAGCCGCGGCCGCGGCCGAGGCCAACGTCTCAAGCCCGAACTGGCGGGGACCTGGATCTGGGGGCGCTCGGGGGATGGGCACCGGCACTGGGACCAAGCAACTGCGAAGAAGACGTCGCATCACCCCTGCCACGCGCACGCGCGACGAGCTGCGCATTCATCGTGGAAGCCCTTTGATCGACAGACGCGCGCCAGGGCGTCGCGCGCGCGTTAGCGCCGGGCTCGCGGGCCCCGCCCATGCGCCCCGCGCCCCTATCGCAGACGCTAATACCACTCACCACTTCGGGAGCCACGTTGGCACGCGACATCCGCAAAGGCAGGGCCCGCCGATCATCAGACGCCCCGCCGGGCCGCGACCAGCGAGAGCAGGAGCCAACGCTGCCCCTGAGGGCCGCGATCAATTGCGATGCGCAGATCATCGGACACCCCACTGGGCCGTGACCAGCAACGGCAGGGACCGACACTGCACGCTGCCCCGAAGGACCGCAATCCATCTGCCAAAGGACCAACACTGCCCCAGAGGGCCGCGATCCATCTGTCAGCCGGAGCCAACACTGCCCCGAAGGGCCGCGATCCCTGCGAGATACGAGGGGCACTGGACCTACCTACCTGCGGCGAGGGGCGGGCGCCATCGGGGTCGGCCGAGCCTCTGGGGCCCACGCGGCCCACCAGGGCCGGTCTGTGAGGCCCCGATGACACACTCCAGCTTTCCCATGTGGTCTCCCAGCTGACGAGCCGCACACGCCTGAACTGGACGACAAGCAGGACACCACCCCCGACGAAGCACGTGCCCAAAGCAACACAGGGGGGACCTCCAGCCGAGAACAATATCATGATCCGCGAATGGAGACGCCCCACCGTTTACGATCGTGGCTCACCAGCCGCTCTGCATTGCAATTTCTCTGGCTTGACAATACTGATGGTGTCCAGGTCTTTGCTGACACCTGAGCTGGCTACCCAGCCTCCTTCAAAAGAAAAACAAAAACAACATAAATATTGGATCGTTCCTGGCTTCATGTCTCACTCGTCGAAATCTCCATCCACCCGCGGGGGCGGCGCACGCCCAATCACAGGAGGCGGAATCTTCGCCAGGGGCTGCTCGCGATCTCTCGGCACCAATCCCACACGTCGGCGAGGTCGGCAATCGCGCCGAGCTGTGCCCTTGGCCCCCTTTCTCTGCTCGCTGGTCGCGATCCCGGGCGGCGACGTCGACGTTCCCGGCGGCGCCGATGGCGGCGAAGGCGCAACCGAGGGCAGCGCAGCAGGTCGTCCGCCATGAACTGGCGTTTTCCCCACTGCACGTCCACGCGGCGCTGGCAGCGCCGATCGCATGCCCCACGGCGTGGGCGGCGCCGATAGCGCGTCAGACGGCGGCAACACAGGTGCCCCCGCACGTCACGGGCCCAGCTACCCGAAGCCCACTTCGGC